TAAAAAAAAAAAAAAAAAAAAAAAAAAAAAAAAAAGGTAGTGAGGTAGAAATTCATGAATTTATAAGTAGTCGTAATTGTAAGTAACGAGAATTATCATTTTCACTGTACTTTCTTTGTATAAGACTGACATCGTTTGTATAATGCTTAAAAAAAAAAGGGGAAATGAAAAGAAAAGATATGATCTTGTTAGGTACGTCAAGATTTATACACGTAAATTAATGTGTCTACGATTATATGTGTTTAGATCACAGAAGGACTTATATCATACTGTAAATAGAACACTTAAGAAATCGCATTTTCTAGCTCGAATTAAGCTTTAGTGTTAAGTCTTTATCTAATAGAATCGTCTTGAAAAGAATATACATACTTAAATAAAAACAGCAATTCGTGAACATGAGGATCCAAAGCTGTCTAAACTGTTTGTTTCCGAATTCCTTGTTTGTCATATTTAAATAAAAGAATTGCAAATAATTAGTCAATCCGTCATATTCTTCTGTCGAATATATTCTCATATTCTTTCAGTCAGTTTCTTTGCGTCTGTTTTGTTAAACGATCACATGATCATTTATTACTTTATGTTAGCTTACGTTTATGGAATTTAAATCATTTTTCTAACATTATCGTTGTATAAAGACACGCAATTTTTATTTTTTTATTTTGTTTCTCATTCAACTTATCGTCCGTTGGTATATATTACTCTCTATTGATAAAGAAGGAAATATCTTAGCTTTGATATTATATCATGATATGGTACGATACCGACGTAACGTAAAAATCATCAACAAGTTTAGTTTTTATCCTTTTGTAACATGATTAAAACATTCCCATTGTTTTTTTAAAGGAATAATATACAGGGTTCGATATACATAAAAATTCTGGTTGCAGAACGAAAAGTTCAGAGACATTTTTCTCGAAGGAAATATTGTAATTTACAAATTTCAAAATTTTACTGGCTCGAATTATGAACGAAACGCAAGATGCTTGTTACTACTAAAATAATTTCCTTTATTCGAGTAATTTGTACAATTAATCATAGAACATTGTAAAAATAAATATTATAAATATTTATGCTAGAGACAGTATTCTACGAGCATCTTAAACAGAATTTTCGACACTCTCCGTTCTTCACCTTATCATAAAAATCTAACTAGGATGTTTCATCCATCGGCTCTGCCTCCATTTCCTCCAACTGGCCAGACGCCAAATCCAATTTCGAAGTCCATGGTTTCTCCATTTCTTGCGTGTTCACCTCTTCTATCAAGTTCATCATTCTGATGAAAAATTCGTTCAGTTTCGCCGCTGTACCTCGTCGTAGCTTCTGAAAATTTCTACCTGCACACAGACGACAGATGATTAGGTATAAATTACCACGACGATGAATCATTTACTCGATTCAGAAGACGGAACTAAATCGGAGATCAGATAGAATCGTGTTATCTAGGTCCCTCGCGTTATGTCCTGTCACATGTTGACCGCAACTACTGATAATATAAATAGGACGTGTGACATGGAACAGTGGAATCAATATTTCTGCCGATCAGT